TGGTTTCCATACTTAAAATACAGTTGGCACTTGGTATGTGTGAATTGTCCCTAACAGGAGGTGGGAGTATCCATAGTAAAAAAAAAAAAAAAGCTACAGTGGTATCTGAGATCTGTCTCCATTACACTTTTGGACCAGAGTGTGAAGCATTTAACTGGTCCCTGAACTAAGCCTGTGTGTCCCAGGTGCCTTTTAGTGCTGCAGGAGGAGAGAAGAGACACTCAGGATGTTTATATCTTTATCCAGATTGCCATGTCACTCCTCAGACCGTGCTGGGCTTGCAGCTGGTGCTTTTCCCCTTCTTTGCAAACCATCAGAACAGCAGCTCTGTGGCAGCAARTGCACCAGTTAGTGGTGTATGTGGGCAGCAAGCCAAGAATTTTTTTACCATGGTTACATAAAGTTTAACTTATCGGTGCTCCAAAAGTAATGGATGATCAAGAATAAACTTGATTTTGATAGCAGCAGTTCTTTCATAGTGTTAGCTCAATGTCTATTAATAGATTTGARTTTTAATTTTTGTAAATGCCTTAAATAGGTAATGTATTGTGATGTGTTCTTGTGGGGTTTCAAGTCTGACTTGGGTTATAGAGCATTATCAAAGCTTAAAAGYGGTAGGAAATGGAAATACTACATAGCCTTTTTAAACTTCAAAGGTATTGTTCGTTTTTGGCTGTCATTAACACAAAGCTCACGTTCTCACCTCTCCTTAGCACTCTGGATATTCAGTTGCTCTCTGAAGTGCTTATAATTAAGTCTTCCTGCTGTGACCTCAGCACTGCACATTGCAGCTASACATGGGTGAACTAACAAACTTGCCTCCTAAAATCAGTGTTCCTCTGTGGAAACACTGTATTGATTTCAGTCTCTTCTCTGGAAGATTAATTAATGCATGGAGAAGCTGAAGTGGATGCTGTGTGTTACCAGTAATGAGTCGAGCTTCTGATCCCTGTTAGCAGAGATCTGTCTCCATCCTGTTGCTTTGAGCCTTCCTTCTTGGCAATTTACAGGATGGCTGCTGCTAAAATTCAAGGTTGAAGTTATCACTCATAGCCAATTTACCAAGTTGAAGGCAGTAAGTTTGGGTTACATTTTCCTTGTGAGGTGTGTTTGCCCACTGCAAGATACCGTTTTTCTTTCCGTGCTTATCACTTCAGCGGTTGATTTGTCTGTTGGGCAGGGAGGGATATCATGTTCCTTRATCCATCCCAACTTTTGCTCTTTTCCCTTTGTGAATAGGAGAAATAGGAAAAGCTTTGAGAAAAGAGGAAAAAGAAGAATGGCAGCAATGATTTGCAGTGAGTAAAGTTGTAATGTGGTGCTACATCACTACTGTGAATTCAAGTCTTAAAATGTAAAAAGGAAGAAAAACATACAAAAACATATAAAGAGTGACTTAATCTTCCTTAATGACTTCAAGTTTGATTAAATTAGTGGTCCTGTAGAGAAATACAGGAACTGGAGCTGTGTACAGCCTCCTAAAAGCTCTTACTGACTCCTGCTTGGTGTGTATGCAGGAACTGGTGTTTTGGATCACACCAACTCTAGTAATTTTTACAGGACAGCTGTATCTGTGTATTCAAGTGCAAAAGCCCTGGAAGTGCTGTCCAGTTCCTATTCCACTTCAGAACTTTTCACTTTTTAGAGGGTGTTTTAAACCAGCAATGCAGACTGGAACARAGACTCAGTGCTGAAGCTGGTGGGTGCTGTGGCCTGGGCTGCAGTGAGCAAACCTTCCCCGAGTTCAGCCTTTGAAACAGAGTTTCCCTTTTCTTCTGCCTTTTCTCTGCCTCATGTTTATTTTAGATTGCTGTTGGTTTCCTCCTCCTTTACTGTCAGGTTATGGCTGTGACATTTCCTTTATTTAGGCTAAAGAAACAAGGGGATGGGGAAGGTGCAAATAATGTYTCAGTTCAAGKCTTGAGCATMATTTATGAGACATTTGCCTGYGGGGAGAGGAAATAAATATATGAAYATARCTATGYTGACTGACARTTTTTCCCCTCAGAACTGAGAGTAAATCCAGTGTTTTTCAAGGTTTCTGAGTTACAAGGGAGGTTCCCTGGAATGTGGAGCACAAACAGATGTGATTGATCTCCCCTGACAAAAATTTACATGTATTCAGTTTATTCAGCACAGCTCAGGATGGGAATCCAGTGATGGATAGCTCATGCTGACCCTGCATGTCAAACAGWTTTGATTTCAGATGAATCAGAAGGAATAAACCTATTTACAGGAAGGTCATGTTTCACTGGCTATTTACTTTGTTTCCAGAGGTTTCTGTACTTTTTTTTCCCTTGCCTAAATTTGCTTTTCTGTGTTGAATGCTGCAGAAGCAGCAGCAAGGGGTTGGTTTTGGGGGTAGCTTTCAAGCACATGCTTGGAAAGCCACAAAACACACCCCAGAATTAGTCTGAGCAGTTTGGGTGGAGCTTAGGTTCCTTCCCTGCAGCAGGTCATTTGTCAAATGCAGGCTTGGGCAGACGAAGTGACTTTAACTGAGCAGTCCAGTTACTGGCTCTGGTGGGGTCATCTTGGCTGTATTATCAGTATTTGGAGCTGATTTAACTCATCAAAATTCTTTATCAGAAAAGTTCATTGCATGAGTGAAGCTCTGGATGGGGTAGAAGCAGGGGTCTATTAACAATTTCTAGATGCTCTCTGTTTTGGGACATCTGATGCCTCCCTCAACCTTGTAGGCTTTCAGTGACCATCTTGTACTCTTTTTTTCTTTATTAAAGGTTATGATTACATTGTGAAACAGCTCTTGCTCCTCCCACCTTAAAGTGTTAACTCCTGGGTAATTTGTCTTTAGCCCATCAGCTTCTGAGAGTCTTGAGCTGTCCATTATTAGTTTGAAGCAAGTCAGCAATTAGGTAACCATCAGCCTCTGAAACAAATGTATTCCTTTTGCTTCTCTTTAAAAATCATTCTCTGTGTCAGAGTCCAGTTTGCCTTGTGTCAGCCTGTGACAGCTCCCAGCCTTTACCTCTGCATCCTGCTCAGTCAGCTCATTGTGGAACCTGGGACCTCCTCCAAGCAAAAAAAAAAAGCTGTCAGATCTGCTGTAAGCGAAAAAAAGCTGTCAGATCTGTAGGGCCTGTCCAACAGCACCTTCCTTCATGGGCAAACAAGCACCCTTGAGCTGCTTTTCTGGACTCCAGTTCAGCCAGTCCTTCTCTTTCTATTAGTGCAAGCAGCAGTCCAGGCCCTTTGTCCAGAMATTGCCACTCAACCACCAACCCAGCCAGTCTGCTCTGAACTTGCATGATTTGCTAGAGGTGTGTTGCTTTTGGCTCTTTCTTTTCTGACTGTTGATATTTGCAATTGCTTCCTAAAAGTTTAGTGTAAAAGATGTGGTTTTGAATTTGCCTTCTATTGGTACCTTATTAATAGGGGTGCAAAGGTCTCCTGAAGAAAACCCAGAACATGAGTGGATTATAAAGAATATTTATATCCTTTAGTCCTCAGCCTTATCTGTCAAYGGAAAACTTTACAGGCTCTTTTGAGCCGTAGGTTTAAATCTAAGGTGCAGTGCTGGGTGCARCTGAGCTGAAACATGAGCTGATCAAGGGACTGTGTGGAAGAAAGAGCTGGCAAAGGAATATCAGTGTTGCCTTGGAGAGCTGTGCTGGACCCCTGCCTTTGCTGGAGGATTTTGTGGTGAAATTGGTAATTTTTAGGGTACTCAGTGAGAACCCCAGGGCAGTGACTACAAAAGAGTTTTAGTGCTTGCCCCAAGYTGTTCTGGTCCCCTCAGCTTTCTGACCTTCTGCAGAGAGGATTGTGCTGCTTTTGCAGCAAAGGTGGAATCAGAGCAGTTCAGTTCAGTGTATTTGGATGTATTTGTAAAACATACTTAAATTTCAGTGGTTCAGAAAGGGAAAAGCCCAGGTAAAGTGAGACAGAAGGACAAGTTTTACCCCTGTGTATCTTGGATTGGACAGCAGTCTATGAACATGTAGGATGTCACAGAAAATCCTCAGGTGGAGGGCTGGATATGCTTTTAAATTCACTTCCCTTAAAGGTTTGTGCTAACTCCTGTTACAGTGGTACTGGAAATTAAAATTGATAATCCCCTCTGCAGTGGATTGGAGCTATATTCAGGGGGTAATTGCCATTGCTAGTGTTGTAATTCTTTTTCTAGGTGGTGGTTTCCTGTGCAAAGGAAAGACTACAGAAAAAGCAACAATAAACAGTCCTCACAAAATGAAACAAAAAATACAAACCCAAAGATTTCCTGCTTCCAGTTCTTCGCTAGATTTGGGTGGGGCTTTGGCTACATCAGTCTGCTACAGGACTGGGGTCTTAGTGCATCACTGCTATCAGTTAATAATGCCCAAATATGTGTCTTTCATTGCTTGGGGTTTTATTTTTCACTGTTTATCTCATATTAGGATTCCATGTAGTAGTGAGGACTTGGTTGAACATGTGTTCATCTTACTGAAATGCTTTTTGAATTTAAAACTCCACATCCTGTTTCTCCCCACAGGATTGTCTCTGTAGGCTCTCAAGCAGTAGGACTGGCAGTAAATAATTAATCTCTGGATCATGACATAGTAATTTAATTTGGAAGAATAACAAAACTTACAGGGAGTGAAATACAGAAAAACGCTTTTGCTCAGTTTTCTCAACAGTTTTCTGTTCAATGTTTATACATTAAATTTTGGTGTGTGTCACATGCCTCATTCAAYGACACTGAATAGAGAAAATACATTTTCAAGGCAGTGCTTCCCATGCATAACATGTTCCCTTCTGTTGGGAAAGAACCCCAATGCTGCGGTCAGATCATTGCACGTTGTTTGTACAAAACATTGGAAAGAGCTGGAGTGGGAGGGAAAAGTCACTGTGGAAGTGTGGAGATCKGTTGGAAGATATCTGGACACTGTAACAGGGATCCTTCCCTTGCTTTGACCGGTTTCCTGGTTATCTGCTGCCTCCCAAAGCAGCCAGAACACCGATTTCTTTGAGGGGCAGGGCTGTGGTTTCAGGGCAGAGGTTCATCTAGAGGGGGTTGTAGTCCTACGTCGGCGCAGCACGATGGTGGTGGCCAGGAGCTGCAGGAGCAGGAGGCAGAGGCCTGTCAAGGGGATCCAGAGGAAGGCAAGACAGAAGTAATTCAGGTCTTCCTGTGTTCTCTCTGCAGGAATAGAGAAGAGGAAATGTCCACCAGTGTCAGAGACTGAAATGTTATAGTTTATGACTTAAACATTTTCATGACGGACTTGTTGCGTACTATAGTGAAACTGTACAAAAGCTGCAGAGAAAGCCATCAAAACCCTGAATGTGGCCCTGGCTGCACTGCTCACTGCCCACTGATCAAAGATAAAGTACTGAACAGCTCAGAGCTGGGGAGAAGAACACATTCACAAAGGGATCACGCTTAGCACCTTAGGGTGGGGACCATAACCCCAGGGCTATCAGCTGCCAGGCCAGCACAGACCCTCRCCACAGGGTGGGGAGGGGAGAAGAGGCGTTGGGTGTGCCTGTGGTCAGAGGCACAGAAACGCCCGTCCTCTGCTGTGCAAAGGAGATCAGCTCTGGGGTCCTGCACCCCAGGACAAGGTGATCCAAGCTSATGGGGACMGTCGAGGGGTTGTCATGGCCCCCAAAGGGGTCCCCAGACCCTATACCAGAGGTGATGCAACAAATCCACAGTGTTGCAAGGGACAGTGTCAAACTGAGCCCCTGAAGGGGTGACCCGTGGGCGTTCCCAGCTGGCCCAAAACGTTTATTAATGCAATGGATTCTGTACTCTTTGGCGTGGCAGCAGTGGCGGGGACCCTCAGCACCCAAAAGACTGGATGGARGGGAGCAACGAGATGTCGTTGGGACCCCCGGAAGGGTGGTATGTTCCCATCTAACCCTGTCACCTTCTCCCTGTCCCCTTGCCTCCCCGCCCCTCCATGCACACTTTTTCTATTTTTCTTTCTTCTCTCTTTCTTTCTCTTTGCCTCTTTTACTATCAARTAAAGTATATAAATTTTTTTGGCATCGACATTTAATCTCATTTGGTTTTAATCTCATTCTGGGAATATTTTGAACCTTTTCTCGTTCTGTCAGCTTTTTTCACAGACACTCAGTTTCCTCTGCTTTTCTGTACTTAAATTGGATCATAACAACCAGGTGCTCCTGGCTGATGTTAAAGCCAGTTCTGCTGGAGCCCAGGGCACTGCCTGGTGTTCCTGAGGAAGAGGGCTTCCCCTGGGCCTGCAGTGATGTTCTACTGCTGTCAGCATTTTCCTGCGAACTGGAGGGAGGAAACATGGCCAAAAGCTTTCCTGTGTCYTCTGGTGAGGCTAAAAGCAGCCAAGCCCCCAAAGCAATACCCTCCCTACCCCTGTTCCTGGTGTGCCCAGGCATGGGACATACTCGTGCTTTTTATGTCCTCTTTAACCTTTCCTAGGGAGGGATGAAACATTGCAGTTTAATCTTTCTTATTCTGCTAAAGCTGTATGGATTTTCACTCTCCCCCAATGCCAGAATATCTGCAGAATCCCCCTTCGTATCAGTGCCCAACTCTTCCCCACTCCCTACCTGCATCCAGGATATCTGGATTTGGCGTCGTCAGACAGGAGTCGTTCTCAGTGATGGCACCGTGCGGGGTGGGTCCTGGTGTGGAGGGTCCTGCAGTGGTGGCTATAGGTGAAATGGATGAATTCAGCACATAGGAGAATACAGTAAAATAATTTACTCCTGCCTTTCTGCTCTCCTGCCTGGGTATGGCTGTTCCTGTGCAGTGAAGGGCTCAACTCTGGGGGAAATTCACAGAGCCCAGTTTGGATGTGGTCTCTCTAAAGAGGGTGTCTCAAGAGCCAGAAAGGAGCTGCAGCCTCTTTACTTCTCACTTTATGACACCATCCTCAGAAAGCCTGAGCCACTGAGCTTGTAAGACCTTGTACCTGCTTGTACTGAGGAAGAAGGAGGGGAATGGAATTTGTTTTAGTCTTCTTTCAGAGCCATGGGTGGGATGGAGGAGTGGGGATGGGGAGATGATGCTGGGACTGCCCAATCATCTTTGCTTTGG